GAGACAGCGGCCTGACGGACAGCGCAAAGACAGCGGCCTGACGGACAGCGCAGAGACAGCGGCCTGACGGACAGCGCAAAGACAGCGGCCTGACGGACAGCGCAGAGACAGCGGGCTGACGGACAGCGCAAAGACAGCGGGCTGACGGACAGCGCAAAGACAGCGGCCTGACGGACAGCGCAGAGACAGCGGGCTGACGGACAGCGCAAAGACAGCGGCCTGACGGACAGCGCAAAGACAGCGCTGTCCGTCACATGAATATTAATGTTCATGTTTGTTGTCCTAATATGCCCATGGTAAAGGGTGTTTTAAACCTTATCAATTCTTTTAATCTTGTGCAATGTGTGGCCGGCAACACACATGAACGTTGACACACACTTGACCTTGTTTTATCTCATGGTTTGCCTGTTTCTAACTTAGAGACTTGTGATGCTGTGTTTTCTGACCATATCCCTGTGATATTTGAAGTTGCCCCTGTCTGTGCCACAGTTAAACCTCGCACTGCTGCTCGTCGTTGTCCTGTTATTAACTCCTCCACTGCTAACCAGATCTGTAAAATCCCGGAGCTTTTCAACAGCCAGACTGAGGAACTTAGCTCATGGTTCTACTCCACCTGCCGGACTGTTTTGGACACGGCGGCTCCATTAAAAACCAGACAGTCTAAAAGTAAACCGGAGCCCTGGCTGAACGACACGACCAGAGCTGTCAGACGCGAGTGTCGCTGAGCTTTGCGCAAGTGGAAAAAAGACAGACTGCAAGTGTCATTTCAGATGCTAAAGGACTATCTGCGCCATTATCAATCAATTGTAAAAGATTCCAGAAGAAAACACTTCTCTGACTTAATTCTGTCAAATCGTCACAATCCTCGTGTTTTATTTAAGACCATTGACTTTGTTCTTAATGCACCTCAGACAGATTGTATCGAGCCTTCCCCTGTAGCATGTGAGAATTTTTTTACACTTTTTTCTTGAGAAGATCTCCTTCACTAGGGCTCAAATCTCTCCTTTTACTCTTTTCCCCTCAGTCTCTGTTCCCTGCCCCGCCGTGTTTGACAGGCTTGAGCCTGTGACTTTGTCCTATTTAGAGGAGATTGTTGGTCGTTTGAAGCCTGCTGGGTCTCCAAACGATGCTGTCCCTCCTAAACTTCTTAAACAGGTTTTGCCCATAGATGGACCTTTGGTTCTTAAACTGATCAATCACAGTTTGTTGTCAGGTGTGGTCCCTGTGGATTTTAAACATGCAGTAGTCAAACCGCTGATTAAAAAACCCGCTCTTGATCCCACGGTTCTTGCAAATTATAGACCAAACTGCCTTTTCTTTCTAAAATTATTGAAAAGATAGTTCACAGTCAATTGATAACCTTTTTGGGAAAGGAAAATGTTTTAGAGGTTTTCCATCTGGTTTTAAATCCTTACACAGCACTGAATCAGCCCTTTTAAAAGTTTTAAATGACATATTCTTAGCTACTGACTCTGGCGACTGTGTTGTTCGTTTGTTATTAGATCTGACAGCTGCGTTTGATACAGTGGATCATGCCGTTTTACTTTCTCGTTTGGAGCAGTGGGTGGGCCTCATAGGCACAGCACTGGACTGGTTCAGGTCCTATTTGGCAGAGCGAACCTTTTGTGTCAGCCTCGGTGACCATGTGTCCCACTCCGCTCCTCTACTGTTTGGGGTCCCACAGGGCTCAGCTCTAGGCCCCCTCCTCTTCTCGTTGTATCTACTCCCTCTTGGTTTTATATTGAGAAAACATGGCATTGCATTTCATTTTTATGCTGATGACTGTCAGATCTACGTCCCTCTAAAGAAAAAAGGCACATAATCTGTGCAGCCATTACTTCAGTGTCTCGATGTCTCGATGATATTAAAGCCTGGATGGCTTTTAACTTTTTAAAATTGAATGATAAGAAGACTGAGGTGATGGTTTTTGGTAACCCTACTGGGACCCCTAATGTGTACTTAGATTCCTTGGACCAGTATAAAAAGCAAGTTGTCAGGAACCTCGGGGTTAACGTGGACGCTGAGCTCAAGTTTGACAGTCAAATGAAAGCAGTCGTTAAATCAAGCTTCTTCCAGCTGAGGCAGTTGGCTAAAATAAAGCCAATTCTTTCTCAGCAACACTTTGAGACCGTAATCCATGCCTTTGTGACCACTCGGCTGGATTACCGTAATGCACTTTATATAGGGGTCAGTGCTTCATCCATCGTTCACCTCCAGAGGGTGCAAAATGCTGCCGCTCGTCTTTTAACTGGTACTCGGAAGTTTGAGCACATTTCCCCCATTTTAGCTTCACTCCACTGGCTGCCCATTTCTTTTAGGATTCATTTTAAAATTCTTTTGTTTGCTTTTAAAGCCCTCCATGGCCTTGCCCCATCCTACCTCTCTGAGCTGCTACTGCCTTATACACCCATCCGCTCTCTCAGGTCAGTTGATCAGGTGCTCCTGAATGTTCCGAGCACTACGCATAAACTTACAGGAGACCGTGCTTTTTCTGTAGCAGCTCCCAAACTGTGGAACGATCTGCCTTCAGAGATCAGACAGGCCTCTTCTCCGTCTGTTTTTAAATCACTTCTGAAAACCCATCTCTGTACCCTGGCCTTTGACACATTATGAAATATTTGCTTTAGCTCTTTTATTTTTGATGGTTTTAGTTAGTTATATGTTCTTTTATATTGTTTTAATATAGATCTGTTATTTATTATGTGTTTTATTTTGTTATTTTTTCTTTTTTTTTTGTTGCTGTTTTGTTTTTATCTATTTTTCTTAATTTTACTGTACAGCACTTTGGTCTTGCACAGGTTGTTTAAAGTGCTTTATAAATAAAGCTGGATTGGATTGGATTAGACAGCGAGTTGATGGACAGCGCAAAGACAGCTGCCTGACGGACAGTGCTTCTTACTGTTCAGGTGTGACGCTAGGGTTCTGAAGTCTGTGGTTCCTTCCTTTGTTTTGCCCAAAAACCAACTTCAGTTTCCACAGCCTGAAGGTTGCTGCTGTCCTTGACAGCCTGAGCCATCTCTGAATCAACATAGCACCCCATCAGACACGACGGCACACTGAGACCGAATTCCATGCTGAGAACAATCAGACAACATTTTCAACCCTCTGCCCTCCCCCACTGGTCCCACTAAACGTCCTGTCTATCTCCTGGGGTTGACCATGATGTTGGTCACTCCAAAACATTACCAAATGTCCTTCAACTTCCAAGCCAACCTCAGCTGTTAACCACCGTAACTGTTAAGGTAGGTGCACCATACACTCTTGCTGATAGTTTGGTAATTCGAGAACATTTATACACCGGGTGCGGAAAAGGTGTGATAAATGAACCACAGTGTTTTTAAAGCTTGTTATTGCCTGCTCACAAGGTTTGTGTTGGCTAGTGGCGAGAAAAAAAGTGTCCTGAAATACCAAGCCTTGCACACTTAATGACATTTGAAAATTAAAAGTGCTGACAATTTACAAGCAATCTACCAGAACTGAGGTTTATTGTGGAGAGAGGTGATAGATGCAGATTTTTGCCTCGGTATTATCGGAGCCTATGCTGCCCACTTCCTTAGCAGGTGTCAGTATCTGCTGTTTCGGTATCTAGTCAGACGGCGGCGGCTGCACGAATCTGCGAGAACGGCGCGCCCCCTGATGGCAATGGACACGCACTGCAGCTTTCAGACCTCCCCGTAGCATTCCATAGCGCGTGATACAAGGTCATTTCATGGAGAGTAAAGCACAGCATCATACAAAACCGCGAAAAGCCTTTTTCATTCTTAAACAAAACATCGCGGGCAGTAATTTATAGTATTACTCCATAAATAGTAACATAATCTTCAAAAAAGAGCGCGGATGTTTAACAAAATATGCGCTTTAAACACGTATGTTACTACAACAGTAATGCTCCTTTTTGACTACGGGAATACTGGATCCGCTCTCCTGCGCACGCTGTAAACATTGGCACCTAATTATAATGTTGTACATCGCTTTTTCGGCTGTGAAAAGGACGACGATGACTCGCTAATTACCGGTTCAGTACCTGGCTTCACCATATCTACCCTTACTACTTATAAAAATGGAAACCAGCGTAGGATGTCATTTTGCTGCAAATAATGACATTTAACATGAAACTCCACAAAAAAAGAATACGTGTTGTATTTCGTTCCCACAAAAAATAGGCAACATCCTACAGAACTGAAAATACTCTACATTGCGACTAGTGTCATTAAACGGGAAGATTAATTATCGCCTGATTCCTGCATCATTTGAAATTCCTTCTGGACAATTGACCCAACAAACGTGACATAAAATTAAACATTTGGAGTGTCCACATGCCACAAATCGGGTTTAGCCTATTCCTAAAAGTGGACAAAGCGCATTTCAGACAGCATACAAAGCATATACACACCCAGGAAACGCTGACCTGCAAATTCTGGCAATCTGCAAGCTTTTGTACCACGATGAATAGGACTGTGGGCACCCCAGAGGGAGGACAAAGATGCCAATGGAAACAGACCACACACCTTAACTAATTATAGCAAAATTTTATTTGTATAACATATATAGAACATATATTGAAATATTAATATTAAATGGTAAATATTATATAGTGTACCAGATAAGGTATGGCCCTTGAACCTGAGATGATATTACATAATAGATAACTGTTTCTTCTAAGAGGACAGCAAAATCTCTCTGCACAAAGGAGGGCTTTGATCTGTCAGGATGGATGAGAGGAGATGACTTAGCCCACACTGCATGCTCTCCAACTTTCAGCCTCTCATTTGTCTCTTGGGCCTAATTTAACCTCACTACTAAGACCAGGAAATGGAAAAGCACTCCTGTCCCAGGATAAAGTCCCTCTAAATCAGTGTTTCCCAACCCGGTCCTCAGGGACCCCCAGACAGTACATGTTTTTGCTCCC